GAACTCAAAAATACTTGTCACATTTGGTGTTCATGTAAGCATTTAATAAGGCTTATTAGTTTGCTTTTTTATGAATCATTAGTGAGAGTGGTGAACCGTCGAGTACCTTTATCATTAATTTGGCAGTTTCCACCAAAGTTGATTAAAATGCGTGCTTGCAGACTTTTACCGGAAGTTTTCATAAACTACCGTTCATTGGGTAGATTGTTTTTCCATTTTAGGTCTCTGTGTACTAAGTTGTACGGAGTTTGCTGATTTTACAATTCAATGCAGCCATAGGTTCGTTCTCGGTACTAAGAAAAATCGTTTCACAAACCGACCAGTTGACTGATGGAGTTTCGCTGCATGCAATGATCCTCTCAATGCACACACTAATTACCATCTTAATGGGGTAGGTATGGATTTGAAATCAGCCAATTTCATCCTTATGCGAGATCAGAGAAACCTCATCGTTTTTCCGAACTCTTGTTGACTGGTTTAAAAAAAATGGGCCAATATAGTCATCTCTGCAGTACCGACACCAGATTTTCTGTATCCTAGATGCTCCAGAGGGAGATCTGTTATCATGGGGTACTCTGCAAGGAAGTCGTTTAAGTTCGTTTTACGAAGAAATGGTTTTAGTTTCTAAAAAATGATTTGAGGTTAAATAGCATCGCGAATATAATCGAAGCAAAGATTTTGAAATTTGAATTGATTATCACAATTGCAAACGATCAACAAGATCAATACGAACATCTAATAGCCACGAATGCATGGTTCTGAAAATGGTTTCAACAGAACCCTTATTGCGACCGTGCAAGTTTTTTTAGGTCTCCTAAATTGGGCAATACACCGCTTTTCGATTCGACTTCCTAACGGTTTTACTCGTGTGGGGCAATTTCATTTCCATGGGAAAGAACTGATTTGGCGGAGCTGAATAAGTTTTGACTAGTTTGCTTCCAACTCCGTTGTGTCAATTATAAATCTATCAGAAGTACGGAGAAACTTGTGCCTCGTTATGAATACAGAAAAAAAAAAAGCTTCCGCCAGCAGGAGCTTTGGTAACGAATTGAGCTTTTCCCAGTTTCTGACAGGTTCACCGACTTCTGTTTCTGAATTGCTTATTTGTAGGGAGACTCCAAATACATCAGCGTTTCAGTTTTTGGGGATGTGTCGTACTTAAAACAAGTAAGCTTGGCCTTAAAGATCAGAACTTAACTTGGCCTATATCCCAACGGGTTGTTGGCGACGCTTTCCAAGACATATCTAGTACTACGACAGTTAGATTTTCAGAGTAAGAAGTGTTATTTTTGCTTTCGATACTTTCACTACCACATTATGGGATTTTTTGTTAAGTTCATTTCTATTACATGCAGAGCAATTTGATTTTCATAGCAGTTTAATAAGTCCAAACTTTTGCAGCTCATTTTTCTGACTCAGTTATCCTGGGTGATAAATTTTACATGGTCCCATCGAAACTTCAAAAAATGTTTTTTTTTTACCAGACTGGCACTGGAGGCAAGCCTAGTGTAAAAATTCTCTTCAATGATTTAATAGCCAATTATTTCACTTACGAGATCAATTGGCTTGTAATCGGGTACCAGACTTTTTTCCCGTACATGACTTTTGTTACAAATCTGCGAGATAAGTTCCAAAGGGGGACTCCTTGGGTCGTCAGGGGGTCCAATAGCCTGAGAAGGTGCCCCCCTCCTCCTTTTTCTGCTATTGTTATGAACAGATACTGATCAATGTCACATCAACGTACATCGCGAACAGTATAAAACTTGACTGACTGTTTGAAACACTGAGCTGTCAAAGTGTTCAACGTACTTTTGATGTAAATTTCTCAAATTTCAAACCGCTAATTTTTGAAGGTTCAAAACAAAAAACTTCAAATCACACGGAGCTAAAGAGCAACCTGGATTACTTTTGAGCATAAAATGTGGCGGGAGGTTTGCATCTATATTCGTTTTTTCTTAAGTTTACAATTCCAGATTTCGTGACCAAAAAAATTGGGCGCAAAGTTCGCAACCGAGAAGCTATCATAAGAGGGAGCGGACAAGTTCCACAACAACGCGACTCATTTCCGCTGCTCCCAAATTTTTGCGACTAAATTTCGCTGTCTAGATTTTCCCACAAACAAAAAACAACACTCTAATCTACCCCCCCCCACCACCACCTGCAATCTGGCTCCCTGGCTACCGTGATAGCGGAGTAAATCAAAACAACCTGGCCATGAATTGCAAATAAGCCTCGGGCTGAAAAGTAAACTACAAAATTTAGGAATTCGAAAAAATTTGTACTATAAAAAGCGGTACTTGAAAAATCCAAGGTTCTCCTGAGATTAGCTGAAATATTTGATGAAATAAGCATTACAGCCTATAATGTAAATAAGCATCAGTCTGTACAAAGATGAACCAAAAGAAATCAAAGTATCAATTTGCAAATTCCTTTTTTTATAATAAAAAAAAACAGCCCCGTTGTCTTCTTCTTTTTGCGATAATTAGAAAAAACGAAGGACTATGCGGCGCTTTTACTCTCAAAAATAATCTGTGCCATAGCAGCCTTTACGTCTTCTAGCATAGGAAAAATTACTCCACTTCTTCGATGTCTCAACAACTTTATCTTTAATATCATACACTTTAGAATTTATATTTCTTTATTTTCATACTCTTTTTGTCCAACATTCTCAAGAAAAAAAAGGAATATTTAAGTAGGATGCTCTTCATCTCCTGGCCTTTTTCAACATTTTCAAATAACGTTTTTCGATGGAGTTTCTTATTTGAGTTTGAATCTCGCAAATAAATTGGTTTCAAAACTGCACAGCTTGATATCAGAAGGTACTACTTGGTACGAAAATGATCTCGTTGTTCCATTAGTTTAAAGAAAAAAAATCCGAAAAACTTTTCAAGAAATTATCACTTTTTTTTTACCAGAGGAAGTCCTGAAAAGCACTTGAAACGAGCAGCATTGTTGTTTTTTGCGTTCTGAAGTGTGTTTTTTTTGTCAATTTCAGGTTTCGCAAGGTCATAGGAATCAAGTGTAGTATCATATGGAGATCTCTTTTTGTCATAGTTCAAAATACCAGAAAAAAACAGTCTAATTATTTTCGAGAAAACTATAATATGTAACATGTAGGTGGTTGGAAAGCCGCCAATTTGGCCGTGGTCTGGAATATTTTATGTCTGCTTTGAAGACTTTGCACTTGATGCTGAAAGAGTAACGAAAGTTACTCATGTATTGAGAATTATCCGCCTCTTAAACTTGTTCTAAATTGAAACAAAACTTCTCGTATCAGGGCGAGTTTTTCTTAAATTTTTTGTGAGAATTATTTCCCCAAAGGCCATATAAAATACAAAATGATAGATTTCGCTCCTAGTAACCAAATTATTATGCAAAAAATCTCCGCTTACGATTTCTAAGACGGCTAAAATCTCCGCTTAAGCATTAATAGCGCGAAATACATCGCGCCTTAATTGTCCCAAGTGGGCCAAAACGGCAATGTTTAAACACTCATAACTTCACGAAAAAAGATCACAGGTGATTTATCTGTTCAAATTTCAGTTCAAGACAACAATACCTTTTGAATGATATACAAAATGTCGTCAAAAACTGTTAGTTAAAAAAGTCGAAATTTGTCTGAAGAAAAAAACCACCCGAGCACAAACCACGTTATGAAAATCGGAACAATAAGACAATCTAGTTTGGTATTTTAATTTTCGCTGCCGACTCAAAGTGATTATTCTTTCTTTATTATTTAAGCTCGGTGTGATTTATTTTTCTTCAGACAAATTTTGACTTCTTAACTAGCCATTTTTGACAGAATTGTTTTTGTCGTTCAAATTTATTGTTGTCCTAAGCTGAAATTTGAAAAGATCTTCCACCTGTGATCTTTTTCCGTACATTTATGGCGGCTTAAAGATTTCAATTTTGGCCAATTTGGGACAATTAATGCGCAATATAACGCGTACGCGGATATCTAATCTGCCTTAGAAACCGTTCCAAATTGGTTGAAGGAAGCTTATTTGCCATATTTTGATTTGTTACTAGGAGCAAAATCTATCACTTTGTAATTTATATGGCGTGTGGGGGGATGATTTTCCAAAAATCTCAAAACTCATTCAAAACATTCAGGGCTTCGCCCTGATGCAAGCAGTCTTGTTTTAATTCAGCTCAAATTTTTTTATTTTGAATTTTTATTAAATTGGGAGCTGGTTAACTACCCCTCCCCCCTTATATCAAAAGGGGGAATATTCATTAGAAGGTGCAAAATTCAAATATGTCTAACCATTGAAACAATACTCTGAGAAAATGGCAATTTACCATAGGGAGGAATAGTTAACAAGATCTTCCATTTATTTCATGAGTGATGCAAAAGGCACAGAAGCACCAACTGAGAAACAAGCTAAAAATGACACCTTTGAAAGCTTAATTAGAAAACGCCTCTTTCCAATCTACCGCTTCAAATTAAAAATTTTCTCAATTTGGGAAACTTCAGCAATTAGTTTTTCTCGCTTTTTTGTTTTTTTTTTAATTTTTTTTTTCTGACAGTAAGGTATAAATCGAAAACATGGCACTCATACATAATGGTATTTCCTTGGTTTTCAATTTTCCATCAATTTTTAATCTGCCTGATATTTCCTGCAATATTTTTGAGAATTTTCAAGTAAGAAGGAGACTTCACTTTCGGTGGCGTTGTCTTTTCCTGTAATTTTCCTGATTCAATTGATCGCAAAATGATATTATAATAAATGTCAGTATCGATTTAATAACTTAACGATAGATGTCTTTTTTGAAAGCCAATTTATTTTCCTTCAACTAATTTCATATACTTCTCCAGCAGGAAAATTATAATTTTGTCAGAAGTACGTTAAAAAAGGAAATTGGGATGTTTTTTCTTGCTAAATTAAAAAAAAAACTGCAGAAAGATATAGAAAATTGAGATAAATTGAAAGAATAAGGCTTTTGAGGGGAGTATGTATGTATATAGGCGCAACTGTTACGCGATTGGTCAACTCGGATCAGTTTATTCAAAGCCTCTGACGCCAATTTGAACAAAAAATCTGCAGCAGCTAGCAGCCAAACAGAAAATTAGAAAATCGAGATTAAGCGCTTTTTTCTACAATTTGATCCACAAGTGCACAAAAAAGAAGATAGGAAAAATGTAAACAACGGTTGAAAGTACCGAAAAAAGTAATAAAAACGGACACTTTTTCTGTTTACTTTTTAAACACCGTTTTGAACTCTTAAAGTCACATAATTACCTAATTCACAAATAAGTTGCTGTTATTATAATTTGAAATTATCAAGACTCAACCAAACACCTCAATACCACCCACAAAATCAAAGAAAAAAACCCTTGCTACCTTTTGTTACTTTTATCCGCTTGGTTGTTACATTCAGCGAGGATTAGCTCCTAATCAAAAGATTAATTTAAATCTCACAACAACAGTGTACTTTTATCACAGTATAATGGCTCAGCACGAAAATCAAATGGTGAATTTGTTCAATTCCACTTTTCAATCAAAAGCAAACTTGTCGCAACTTTCGGAGCTGAATTCAGGTCACATGGGTGGTGTGAATAACTTTTCTGTGGCCAATGAGTCAACTGCGCCCGCCTCCGATTACGAAATGAACTCGAGTTTGGACAACTCGTATTGCGACAATAAGTGTATGAGTAAGTATATATATTTTTAAACGTTTTTCTTTTTAACCTAAGTTTGATTTGAGGTTTTTCAGCCCAGTGTAAGAAAACAAAGAAAAGTCCATGCGCCAAAAACTTCTGATATGATGGTCAAACAAGGTGGAAAGCTTAAGATTTCCTGCTCTCTACCAGATTTTTCGCTAAAAAAGTTTTATCGCCCAAAACAAACGCCATAAGATGAACAGAAAAAGCTATAAAAAATTTGTGCGGTTTTTTGTTGATTCCGGATCACTCAAAAGGGGACAAAAGGTGAAAGTGCAGATCAGCCCAGATTGTGGTTTATATGAGCTAAAGACTTATGTTCTTGTTCGCGGTATAATTATGCTTGTGGTGGATTTTTATTCGGTCGATTTTTTAAATAAACAATTTGACTAAAACTTTTTACAAAGTGAAAGATAATGTTGTCCAGAGCTCAAATTGAAACCGAAGTTTTCACTTGTGATCTTTTTTTTGAGCTGGTTTATAAAATGCTATTTTGGCCGATTTGGGACAACACGCGTTAAGTGGTGGAATAATTCGTTCCGAATTGAATTGAAACAGATCATATGCCTTTTTTTCTAGAATAAACAACACCCCTTTGTACTTTAAATAGCTTGTGAGGGATTAAATGAACGAATGAATAAAAAATTAATTGAATGAATGAAAAAAATTAAAAAAATTAAATAAAAACACGATTGCTTGATTCGTTAGCTTTCCAATTTTTCATCCAAAATTGTTTTAATTGACTATTAAGTGCAGTCAGAACACTCAGGGTTTTGCACTGTTCATCAAACAGTTTTGTTGTACTTGCCTCTTGTTTCTTGCTTGTCGAATTAGTTAGTTTTTGCAAAATTTTGACAAAAATGAATAATTACTCATCGAGACGAAAAGCAGAATGGGGCCAAAAATGGGAATCGGCTGACAAACTTTAACCATACCGTATTTCTGCCAGAAAAACTAAAAAGTGCTTTTTTGCTTTTTACCAGAAGACCTTAAAAAACGTCTCCATATCTGGGACGCTGAATCAGGGGATGGAAAAACATCTCGCGATGATGAACCGAAGCTGTCTTTCATTTTCTCAAGAGACCAATCTATTTTAGCGGCAGCCATAGATTCACGTGCACCATATTTTTGTGCTGTGCAAGCGTATCAGAGCAGATCAAAGCAAGTGATCGCTACTTGTCAATAATGCCTTTTAAAACTTACCTGAATTGCTGTTCCGACTTTCGAATAAAAAGACAGATTATTTATGCTCGGTATGTTTTGTTTCTGCCATGTTTCGAGGTTGTAACAAATTTTTGTACCAACTAAATTTATGTCTAGGCGAAAATCAAACAATTTCATTCACCGATTACTTTTTTGTCATTGATTTTTTTGTAAATTTTCCAGGGTTTGAAAACTGCCAGCTGGGTATCATTTCTACTCCTTATATTTTGCGCTTTTATCACGTAAGCATCGCTGTGTGTTATGCTATTATAACGTAAGCAGTGGAAATAATTCGGCTCAGAAATCTTTCCAAATTGAAAAATCGAGGCAAGCTATTCGGTCTTCTCAAAATGTAGTTAGACGCTAAATGTATCACTCCGTTCTTTATACAGGAAGAAATTTTTTATTAAAAAAATGATCTCAGAAAAGTCAAAAACTTTCAATGTTTTTTGATAGTTTCAAATATTTTTTATCCTAAAAAATCATTTCACGGCTTTTCAACCTTGCGGGATTTAAATATGTTTGCTCCTTTTAAAACTGTAATCATAGTTTCGAACGAATTTTTTGCATGTCATCAACAAGGATTTCTACTCAATGACTACAATCATATTGGCCAATGAGAATCACATTTATTGAGAGCAAAAAATATTCGTGTGCCGGTACAATGAAAATTTATCAGGACAAAAAATTCTAAATATTTTTGCATTTTTTAAGGTTAACTTTGAAGTTAAATCCTATCATCGAAGATGAAAAGAAACTATTCTTATTTTTTTTAATTGATTTTTTTTCGTCAGTCTTTTAATTTAATTCAAACTAATAATAGCTGGGATAATATTCGTACCATTCTGAAAAAAAAGTTTTTTTTTTTGATAACATCGACTAAAAAAACTTGCAATTGTAAAAATATTTTTATGTATAAATTTTGTGAAATTTTTCAGTTAAAAAATTTGGAGAGCTCGAAAATAAAACGTCCAGATTTTCTGTTCTTGTTGCTACTATACCGTAGATAATACATTTGCGCTCTAGAATATTCAACAGCTTGATTATACTTTTTAAAAGATTTTAGGAGCATGAAAGTGATTATATGTTTTTATAAGGCTATTTATATTATATGCCATTGATCAATGGTGTTCGCAGAAAAGTTTTAAAGTCGACCAACTGATCTTATGCAAATTTTTTGTAAGATCAATAGTAGGCTAAAAACAAAATTTTGAACACTTTTTGAAACGTTTTGACCAAAAACATGCTTTTTTGGCTCACTTTTCACCTCAAATTTAGTTATATTTGCGCCAAAGGCGTATTAACATTTTTTTTGAGATCGGCCAGCCAAAAATAGAATTAGGACAGTTATACCAAAAGGATGTTTTGTGATCAAAAAATTACTTTGCAACCAGAGTTGAGGATGAGGACGAGTGGAGAAGGAGGGCGCGGTCACTTCATCTGCCCCCTCCTTGGCACGGTTCAGTTATTCATAGAAGTTCGAAAATTCGGCCCAGTGGGTTCTTCATAGTTTTTTTGGTAAAGCTGCAAAATTCAATCTAGTTGACTTGAAAACAGGTCAAACAAACAATTTTTTTTTCAAAAAAGAACCCTCCCTTCCAGCAAACCCTGCATCCGCAATTGGTTATAAGCTAGTGAGTTTTTGTGTTGATCTAATTGCTTGTTAATTGAAATATGTCAAAAAAAAACTAAATTTAGGTATAGAACAAAGCTAAAAAAAACTACCTATCACGAAAAAAGAAAAGAATTTATCAATAAAATTGGATAGTTTTACATGCTGAAATTACTGGCTTCAAAATCTAGAGGCGTTGAAGAAAACTGTCCTGCCAAAACAAAGGAGCCAAATTGATTTGTTGTTACTGTATACTGTGCTGTTTTAAATTAACCGGACACAACGAACAACGTTGAAAAATTCAAACGCGTTTGTCTCAAATTGAGTGAAGATAAGACAAAAGAAAAAAATTTGCTGAGATTTTCAACAGAATTAATCTGAAGCATTGTTTGAAGTTGGTAACCAAAACTTATCTCAGAAAATGTCTTTTTGTTTTTTAGTATAATCAACAAATACGCTACGACTACTAAGTTTATTGATGAAAAAGTTATATCTAAAGAAGCCTCTCACACAACTAAATAAAGTTTTAGAAAAATAGGAATTTCAAAAGTTTGCGCAAGCTGCTTGATTTATTTTTCAAGCTAATGTTTTGATTTTTTAGAGTAAAATAGAATTTTTTGGCTATCAACCAAAAACATTTTCTCTTAAAAAGAAATTTGGAAATTTTACTCATTTAGAATTTTGTTGGGCTGTATAAGAAGCTTCTTTTCATATTTTTTTAAATCTAACTTGGTGGTTTCAGCGTAATTCTTGATTAGCTAATAACGCTAAAATGACCCATTTTAAAAATAAAATGTTGGTTGCGAATTTCAAAAAAAGCATAATATTGTTTCTAGTGAAATTCTGAGCAACGTTTTTTCTCTTCATTCAATGTCTAATCCTAACCCAATTTGAGAAAAATGCATTGGAAAGCTCAATTTTGTTCACTTTTTCCGGATAATTTAAATCAGCACTGTACGAGTAATAAGAGAAAGTGCAGTTTGCTGAAATTCGGCTCTCATCTCTACAATTCTCAGTTTTTTCCACAGTTAAAGTTTTTTTTTGTTTTGATACGGTTATGAGTGCCTTTTTTGATATGAGTCCCACCTCTAAGTGTGAAAACTTGAACATACTTTCAATCTTAAATTGAATGGAAACTTAAAAACTAATAAAATCTAAGACGCTAATCTGCGACGATTTTACCGATAAAAACTTCATGGCAGAAAAAAACTATAAATCAAGAGTAAAGCCTTTTTATGAGAGAGGGGGAAGGGTTTATGGAAGTGAACAAAAAGAGTTTTTTAATTTAACCTCAGAATTGGTGAAGCTTGATTTCTGTGCACAACACAATTTAGGCAAGTACTGGGCCCTGGAAGCGTATCTGTGCATTCTGCTGGTTGCAACTATCGCCGCCAATTGCATGTCTATCTTCAAACTGTACAAACAGTCCAAGCGCAGCGTCACTTCGGCTGGACACGACTCTAACCTGGCCTGCTTTGTGGGGCTTAACCTTAGCTCCATCAATCTCGCTGTCGGGATTTTGGGTGAGTAGGATAGAGTTAAAAAACTGTCAGATGAAAAGTCGTCGATGTTTTTTGGTAGCGCGACAACTCCAGAAGCGCGACAGCAACAAAAGACAACTCCAATAAAAATCAACTCGTAACGAATTACAAATCGCAAAAAGACATCTCGCAGCAAAACGCAATTCGCAATATATCCACAATTTTTGCTATTTGTATTTTGTTACGAGTTGTCGCGTTATCATAGAAACATTAAAAATTCAGAATACCAGAAGCAAGTTATTATCCTCCTGTCACCCCTCTAAAGCGATTTAGGGGGAGGAACTTACTTCAAATCTGTATTTTTCAGCCAATCGGAATCGAGGGCTGAATGTTTGAGAGGAAGATCTTAACTTAATCTAGGTAAGAGGTAGAGTCCGATAACGATAACCCAGATATCAGCGCTCTAGAATAAAACCATCGGTCAGTTTTCGATAATACTCGAAGCCGAACAAAATAACTTTATATTTATTCGTAGCCTATTTCCTGCGCACAGCAGGGGACTATCAAAAATTTTTTGTCATGTAATCGAGCTCTCCCAAAACTCTATAAGACCCCATTATGTCAAATACGATAAAAACAGGCCAAAACGGACGTTTTTGGGCTTTTTTGGAAAATTTTGGAGTCGCTTCCTCAAATTGAATATCATTGGCACCAAAAAAGCCCTCAAAATTTTTTTAGGGTGTGTCGGCTGAAAGTGGGCTTCGCAAAACAATGATAAAGAAGGGCTCTTTGGGTCGTTGATCGTTGGGTCAAATCGTTGGATCGTTGGGTCAAATATCCCCCTTAAAATCTCCACTAGTCAGTTCGTGTTAATTTGATCATTTTGATCGACATTTTTTTCTCCAACAATTTATTTTATCGAGCCTTTTTTTCAGAGAATCGGAAGGTCGAATTGATTACAAATTGCTTTTCTCTTTGAATTGACGTTAATTTATAAATTAATTTATTTGAAAACTGAAAACCAGGAAACTGCTAATTTGAAAAGGATTTACAAAGGATGTAGGAAATTGGACCGAGGCTTCCCCGTTGATCTTTTGCTTGTTTCGCAGCCCATTAGAAACAGGGTTTGACGGAAGTTCAATTCACGCTTCTTTAACTATTTCCTCGTTCCTTCATCACTTTCAATGATTATAAGAAAAGAATTCATCATATATTTCAGAAAAACACATCATTGAACAAAATATAGCGCAACTTAGAGTTTTTTTTTTTCAAAATTGAACCCTTCTAAACTTAATTGAGGCAAGCTATTTTGCATAAAAAATCAACTGAGGCTTTTTGCCTCAATTTAATTTAGATGGGGCTCAATTTAAGCTGAATTTTTTGCTTACACGACGTGCGCCTCAGTGAAGTTTAATCGCAATGTTTCTGTGAGCTGCAGAGCATATCTATCTCAAAACTGTTAAACTCTTTTCTGCACTTCGGGCCGTAATTTTTTCTGAACGGTCACGTGCTTCTCATACTTCCAACGACCCGACTATCTCAAAATGAATGTCTTACCTCTTTATAATTGAAAACGGCTAACAAACTTATGTATTTTATCCACAAAATAATTGCTTATTTTCAAACTCGTCAAAAAACTAAAAACGTAAAAAACTAAAAGTTTACATAAAAAACTAAAAACGTCAAAAACATTTTTTGAAAAAAAAACTACTACTGAGACCGTCTAAAAGGGTCAATTGGCATATTCTTTCTTTCATACTGTAAAAATGAGCAAACTGGCATCCAAAACAAAGAGAATCATGACTAAATACATTTTTAGCTAGGCCGTTGTATCCCAACAGAATCGATATTGTGTGTTTCGCGAGACTAACTTTCACTACAAATGCCTGAAATAATGCAGAAAATGTCGGTTCAAGGTATTGTTTTGGTAAATATTGCATTGAAATACAATTTAACAAGGTTGCTTGTATCAAGGCAAACCCTTAATGTTCTGAATGCGCTTTTAGATCTATTGAGTTAGTAAGCGATTTGAGAAAAATGATGAAAGTTCAATTCGCGCTTTTTAAACTAATTCCTCATTCCTCCATCATTTTCAATGATTAGAAGATAATAATTCATCATATATTTGCAAAAAATACACCAGTGAACAAAACATAGCGCAACTTAAAAGTTGATTTTCTCTCTTAAATTAATTTTGAACCCTTCTAGATTTAAATGATGCAAGCTATTTTGTAAAAAAAAAATTATTTTAAAGTTTAAAACCTGTTTTTTACAAAAATGTTTTAGCCTCTTTCCAATTGATTTTAGAAAAGTTCATATTAGGGTAATTTCTTTGCTTAAACGACGTGCGCCTGGTTGAAGTTAAATCGGAACGTTTCTGTGATCTGCAGAGCACATCCATCTTGAAACTGTTACACTCTTTTGTTAAACTCTTTTGAAACTGTCTCAAAGACAGCGACGAAGGCGAAAAAAGAAGCTAACAGATGCAAAAGCTGTCACAAAGTAAGATCAGAGAGCCAGAAGTGAGAACACTTCAGGATAACCCGAGTTGTTATGTCACTTTGAAAGGGGCGAGCTTTGGAAGGCCTAAGTTTGGCTATACAACGTGCAAAGCATAACAATGGGGGACGACCGAAATCTCAATCCCCTGGATTACAGGAGGAAGTCGTAATGAAGAAGACTGAGAAAGACTCGGATACCAAAAGCAGTAGCACAGAACGGGCAATGGAGTTGGAAGAGGGGACCACTTGCTCAACCCCGAAAAAGACTCAGAAAAATAGTACAAAGAAGTTGAAGAAAATCGGCACAAAGACGCGTCCAGAAGACATACTGAATACGCTTCAAAATCACAATTTAGCTCCAGAAGACTGGGATACGTTGGCAGACCAACTACTGAAAAGTGGAGTACAGAAGGCGACAGATGAGATAGATTTAAGAAGAAACCCAAAGGAAAGAGGAGACGAGAAGTTTGACCCGCCGCCGGGGTTTTCTGACGATTCAAGCCAGGAGGAAAGCAAAGTTCGAGAGAGTGCACGTCCTAGAAAGAACAAAGAATCATCACGATGGACCGACTAATTGAATCGCAGCCCACAATACAAGAACAACTCCTCTTCAGAAGGAAGTTTGGTTATCGAACATTAGAGCCGGACGTGAACTGGAACCGAAACTGACAGATAGAAATCGAGATGAAATAAAAAGAAAAAAAAACAAAACAGACATAAACCAAAGTATAAACTGAGACTAAAACTCCTATTTCTATTTATTAAAATTTTATCTAGTTTTGAAGATAAATTTTCCCTGTAGTCAGGTGAGTGTGGCACTACTCATGCAGTAACCTCGATGCTATTTATATTAGTAAATGTTATTTACTGTACAATACATTCAAGGCGTGTTCCTTAGTTTATCACAATTTGAAAACCATCCCCCAATCGCTGCTTAAATCAACAACTGACGTGTTCATCGTATAAAGCCTATTATCTACAATTAACCACAATTATGTCTCTAATTTAGAAAAACTTCTGAGCCAGAAGTAATTTTTGCTCACGCGTTGATTTTGAGCCTCATGTATCTCACTGGGCCAAACTGACAATTTCCAAGCTCTCTTTCGTTTTGGGAAAAGTAATAATAACTAGACCAAAGATAGCGTGTTGCTGTGCAAATATAACAAAATATTCCAAACATACTTTCAAAAATAAAAGGATTTTTTTTTGCAAATTAGTGTCGTTTTATCTTTAAATTTTTTTTTGAAATATTGATTTTTAATTATGATTCCAAAAATGCGTTTAAAAACTCCAAAAACTGCTTTGCTTGAGTAAAACTTAATTTGCATGGTTTAAACCAGCTTTTGTAAGCCTGTACGCTGACTGTATTAGCTCGAAGTTAGACCGAAAAACTTCTCGAAGTTGAGCAAAAATTTTCGAAGAAATTTTCGAAAATTATTGCTCAACAATAATTTTCGAAGAATAATTTTCGAAAAACTTATCGAAGTTGAGCAATAACATTTGATTCTTAATGACAAGGGTTTTACAACTTGTCCCATTCCTTGGATTAATTGTGGTAACTGAATTTGCGTGGAAAACAAAAATGAAAAAAAAAGAAAAAAAAATAAAACTGACCCGAATACATAATTCCTCCGGATTTTTCAAATAGAAAAAACAAAATCTTTTCGAGTTTGAGCTCGGGAAATCAAAAATTTTCAGATGATTAACTTAAAACTTTGTCAAAAATGACCAATTACTGGAACGGAAATTGTCTGGTACACAAAAATCATCCCAAGCACAAATGTTCGGTATTTTTGTGCAAAAGTCGTCAAAAAAAATAAAATAATACATTTCACAAAGTTGGATTATACTAAATGAGATGAAATTTTTCAGTGCACAAACAAGTAATTCCAGTATGTTTGCTGGCCATTAAACTGATGTTACCTCAGGCCGAATTGCAAAAGTAGAGAACTCTAATAAAAAACTTTAAAAACCTATATCTTGACAAAATGTCATTCAGATATGGCATACAATTATGCCAATCACACAAGCGTCAATCAAACAAATATGCCTCTAATCCCTTTAGAAAATTTTCTGAGCCGGATTTTATTTTCGCTCACGCGTTGATTGCTCAAAATATTTTGCGCCTTGAGTATCTCACATGGCCAAACTGACAAATTCTAAGCTCTCTCTACTTTCGGGAAAAACAATAACATCTAGAACAAAGATAGCGGATTGCTGTGCAACTAGCACAAAATATTCACTATTAAAATGATGGCACCTTTGGCCGAATTACAAATATAGAGTTTTCTAAACAAAAAGCTTTAAAAACCTATAACTTTATAAAACGTCATCCAGAAAAAAGTCTTTTCAGATCTGAGCTCAGGTCTTCGATGTTTTTCAGATGGACTGAAAACTTCGTCAAAAACAGAAAAATTGCTATTTAGAAAGTCAAAATAGGGTGATGAAAAAAAACTATGAACACATTCTAGATTATTTCTTCATGATGGAACAAAATTATTTGTAATTATATAATTGTTGCAGTTGGACATATTCTTTGAT